TAGTTTTGATTAGCCATTGATTAAGTCCAGAAACATAATCAGATACTTGCCCATTTTATCAACCTCTGATTTAGAGTCTTTATTGCAATTGAATGGCCTTATTCTACTAACAAATAAGATATTTGATTTAAGTAGGCAAGGAAAAAATAATTTTTTTCCGTGAAAAGTTTCCTTTTCTCTTATGCAAAGCGATAGATTGAAATCTTCCTAATGGTCTATTAAAACTATTAGGATTTGTTGTAGAAGGTAAGATGACTTTCAGTAATCTGATGTAAGTTAGAATTTTTATTTTATCACCCTCTTCTCAAATTGATCAAAAAGATTTATTGAACTCTTGGAATATAAGACACCAGGAAAAAGAATCATGATCTCTACTCAGAAATGTTCATCTCACTTAAAAAATAAGATACAAATAAGAAAAAATAAAAAGTTAAGCTTTCTACTAAAGTATAAAATTGTGTCATACAGACAATAAATCATCATTTTCTTTCTTTTTGGGGGGATCATTGTAAAGATTTTTAAAACCAGTTCCTCTGCTTTCTAATGTTGAATGTCTTTGGGGCTCATTTTTCCACACTCTTCCATACACCCTCCTTCAGTAATCCCATTCTTTCCCATAGCTACGAAACAGTACCACTTCTGATGCTTCCCAAATGTATAGTTTTAATAGACCTCTGACATGAGAGCCTGCTGTTATTCGGTGAATCTTCTTGGATATCTTCAATCTTCCTAAGATGTAAACACCAAAAACATTTAACTCTTGATCATCTCTTTTCTACAGCAAACTGCTCTATCTGCAGACTTTCCAGCCTCAGCTACTGAAGTCAGAAATCGGACAATGATCCTTCACAAGCTGACATTTCTCCTTAACCCCTATATCTAATCCAACATGAAGGCCTATCATCTTCCAAAATATGACCTGACTCCATCCACTTCTCTCTTTGCACTTGTTGCTTACTGAAGCTCCTAACATTTCCTTTTTTTGACCCGACTTTCTCCTCCATTCCACTCTCCATGCAGCAGCTGAAATGACTGTTTTAAAGTAAAAATCTCTCAGGTGACTCTCTTAAAAGCCTTCAAAGGCATCTCATTACAATTAAGGTAAAATATGAGTAGTATTTGATTCATATTCCTTGTGATCTTTATGTCTCAAAATCATTTTTTTCACATAACTGATTATAATTTGTTAATGCATTTTATATGAGTGGTCTTTATTTTTGGTTTAATTTTCCACTTTTCTGTTTATTTAATCATCCCCTAGTAGACTTTAAGCTCCATGTTTAAGAGAGCATGGCTCTTTACACACATAATCTCATTTAATACTCAAAATAACCCTGATGTGGTTTGGATCTGTGTCTCCACCCAAATCTCATGTTCAGTGGTCATTCCCAGTGTTGGAGGTGGGGCCTAATGGAACGTGATTGGATCATGGTTGGGGAGATCCTTCATAAATGGTTTAGTATGATCCCTTTGGGGCTGTTCTTGTGACATGAGATCTGATTGTTTAAAAGTGTGTGGCATCTTCCTCCCTTTCATCTCCTTCCTTTCTGCTCCAGATATGTGAAGTGCTGGCTCCCACTTTGTTTTCTGCCCCGGTGTATGTTTCCTGAGGCTTCTACAGAAGCTGAACGGATGCCAGCTTCATGTTTCCTGTACAGCCTGTAGAACCATGAACCAATTAAACCCCTTTTCTTTGTAAATTACCCAGTTTCAAGTATTGCTTTATAGCAATGTGAGAATGGACTAATACAAATCCTATTTTATTTACTATCCAAGTTTTACAGATAAGGAAAGTATGACTCAGAGAAGATGAGTGAGTTTCCTGAGGACACACATCTAATATAATGAAAAACCAGATTTAAAAAGACTGTTTGGAAGCAGAGAGTATATGTTTATTTGTGATGTTGTATCATCCCCTACAACCCACTCCTCATTGGAAATGTTCAGAATCCCAGTTATCCTAGGGAACTCCCTCTTATTAACAAGCTAAAATCAACATAAAGAAAAGTCTTAAAAATGTAAAGTGTCAAACAAATTTTTAATAGCATAATTATGAGGGAGGTAGGATAAGAAACTGGTTGCTCCACTTTTTTAGGGGATATATTTTCACACACAGAAAATTTAAGTGCTAACAGCTTTCAAGAAAGACAGACCCAAATCCCAGTTCCTCCATTTCAGTTTCCTAATATGTAAATGGCTTTAGAATTTAAGAATTAAATTAGGTAGTATGTATGAAGCATTTTGCATAGTCTTACACTAAAATATAACATTGTTGTATTAATTAGTCCTTTTTTTTCAGCACACTGCACAATCATCTATTAGGAGAAGAGAAGTAGCACAATAGAATGTGTTCTCTGTTTTAAGTCAGGGGGTGCTTATGGTCAGGTAGCAGTGAACATGATATAACTGCGGTTATGCAAGATGGAACCTCCCATGGGATCTGGGATGGCCCTCCAATTCCCTGTACTTGAGAATTCCCTCCATAATCCATGGGGAACTTTACAAATGAGTTCACTTCATAGATTTTCAAGCCCTGACCTTATCACAATTGTAGTTATAGATATCCTTTCTATTCCATTCAATATGCTTGATTCTCTAGTGTCTTTCAAGGACTGGTTCATGCCTTGCTTTTTCCAGCCCTCCTCAGGGACTGCTGTTCTGATACCCAGGTCTTTGATCCTCTTTTGTGGAGGCTGTTCTCCAGGGCTACCTGCCTGGACTGAGACATATCACTGAGGGAACACAGTATTTGGTTCCCTGTTGCTCTACTCTGTGGTCCTGCTGAGAAAGTCTCCTCCAGTGTAGTGATCATGTTAACAATCAGCAGTTGTCAGAAATCATGTTTTTGGAAACTGTGCTTTGCTGCTTATGCTCCATGCCACTTCCCACTTCTCTAACCATAAAACAGGAGGTAGGTCCTGATGTCCACCTGTGTACCATATATGGATGTTGTAATAAGATCCTGTTCAATCCCTTTATTCCGTAATACAATGTCATTAACTTCTTTGCTAATTAACCTTTATTAAAGGGTTAAAATTCAGAAGACCCAAGGCATACACAATGGATACTTACAGAAAAAAAAAATGCTTGGGGGTAGGGAGAACTTCTAATATCTCTCCAGAATATAGCTAACATATTCAAAAGTAGTTAATTAATGCCAGAGGGTTTTTTTAAAACCACAGGGAAATTGTCATTTCTTTAGAACTGATGTTAAGATTAACTAATTAGGAACTGTAGTTATTAAAAATACTTTGGGAATGTGATTTGCTGCCTTCCTCCCCATCACTTACACACTGCCACATGTGTACCTATGCAACAATTTTGCACGTTCTTCACATGTACCCCAAAACCTAAAATGCAATAAAATAAATGGGGAAAAATAAATAAATAAATAAATACCCAACCTTTAAAAAAAATACTTTGGGAAATAATTTTTAAATGCTCATTTGTGTTACTGGCTGTGGAGGAAAACCAAGAAAGGGAATCAGACTCTGGAGCCCCCAATTTCTCTGCAATTGGTATTTTCTCATTTCTGGTGACACTGGTCTCATTCCCAAATGCCAACCCTTTCCTCTGTGGTGAATAATCACCACCCAACAGGGATACTTCTCCAACCTGTTGTCTGTATTCATTATGCTTTACTGCCCCTGTCACATATCTATCCTCCCCTGGTCAGACCACCTCTTGTGGACCACTCTTGCCTACTCCTTTGCACTAATTCCTCTAGAATCCTCTTCCTATGTCTAGAGTTACAGGGCACAGAATGGGCCCTGGGCTTAGAGACTCCTCACTCATGAACTTCCACCATGTCCTTTTCCAACATACCCGTGTGCATTCATTTTAAAGGTAGATGCTGCCAGGTTAGCAACTTGCCTTCTTCTTTGTAACTATTTGTGAAAACAAATGTGTAAGTGACAAGTAAGACTTACGGAAAAAGGAGGATGGAACCTGTAAGTCCATTATCCCTCTCTCTTGATGTGCAAATATATTAAAGCAAGTCAATGAACTGGCAAGGGTATGGTCAAAGCAAGAGTATAACTAAGAAGAATAGGTTCCCTGAGAGATCACTTAATTATAAGGGTAGAAAGAGTTTGGAAGCACGAGTATGTATTTTTATCAAAGCAATGGGTAATCTGAGAGTACTGGTCTCACTCACACACTTGAAAATTATATTATTACTAGCATAATTAAATTTGGTAATGTGAGTGTACTTTATAGATTACAGCAGGGTGGCTCTCAATTGAAAGAGCTTCTACCACTCATGAAGCTATTGTTGCTAGGACAATTCAACCAAGATCAATGACTAGAAGGAATATGGAGCCATCAATGGTAAATGTCTTGATCCACTGATGATGGCAAATGGGGACTCAGAAAGAGTGGTCATGAAGATGTTCACCTTTAGAGGGGACAGCAATTTCTGTTCCCCTAGGGGGAAGCAGCTGAGAGCAATGGTGAGACATGGTTCATGAACATGTATACACTCTCCTGGGGTGTGTCAGAGACATTTAAGAGAGAAACTCCTGGAAATATTAAAAACTTTTTCTAGGAAGGTGGATAGAAGACCAAAATCCTTATAATTTATGATAATAATGTAAACTTTGTGTGTGTGTGTGTGTGTGTGTGTGTGTGTGTGCGCGTGTGTTATGTATGAGCTGGTAAAATTTCCTTATGCCTTTACTCTTTCCTCAAACTCAAACTCCTGACCTCAGGTGATCCACCTGCCTCAGCCTCCCAAAGTGCTGGGATTACAGGTGTGAGCCATCACGCCTTACTCTCTTCTAAGAATACTTGATACTATTGCCCTGGTATGGGAGAAACCATTAGTTGCTGATTATGTTTAACAATAATTAATTTTTATTGAGTATATGGTTTATCCAAATAGGTATTACATTTTTCAGTCTTCCTTGCACGTATATATGGCCATCTAATTAACTTCTGACCAAATGAGATAAAACCAGAATTTTTATGTAGGAAACTACCAAAGGTTTTCAGGAATCTACCCTGAGACAGCTGACATATGCCCTTGTTTCTCTTCTCTATGCCTTCCTCCATCCTCCCACCAGAAACATCATGCCACTATCTCAGACAATGAGGATGAGGGCCATACCTGGAGACAGTAGAGCACTGAGGCAAGAAGGTTGTGTTCATGGAGCAGAGAGTCATCATACCAGCCTGGAAAACAAGAGATGGCAGTTTCAGATATTTTCATATGTCTGACACCTGGACTGGGATGGGTAGAAAAACTGGGGGCTGAATGGGCATTGCTTTGTGACCTTTTCATGGAAGGCAGCTTAGCCAAATTGTCTCTGGCTTTTCTTTTCTATCCTCCTAATTACTCCTTCTGCATCATCTTAAAAGGACCACTTTCCTCAGCTTTCTGGCCACTCCCCAAGGATGCCCTTTTGATCCTATGCATTTGACTTCTTCCTCTACTCTCTCCCCAGGTAAATTATCTCCGAAGGCTGCAAAGTGACCAAGCTCTGCCTAGAATGACGTTAAACACTTTTGCAACATAATTCCAAGCTTTTCTTCCTCCTCTCTCCACAGAAATGCAACAACACTTTGGAGTAGAATATACACTGAAATTCCCCAGCTATACTTGGGCTCCACTCTCTGAAATAGCCTGTTTCACATTTCAGTCACATTGACCATGTGTGCCGCCCAGTGTTCAACACAATCAGTCCTCAGTGTATATTAGTTTGAAGACAGAAATGAAATTCTTGTCTTTTTGTCTTTGTGAGAATATTCAGTATTCCCAGAAAGACCTAAGCAGCACCTTTTCCTGCCTTCATAGTAGTTCCTGGTACTTGAATTTACTATAACATTGGATTAAACTTGGTTGCCTGACAGTCTGTCCCTTGTCCCTTGTCCTTTGAGCAAAGATTAAAAATAGCCATCCTAGGGATCAAATCATGCTGCTGACTGGTTTGGTAATCACAATTTCACCAAACATTAAATTGGAAGAATCTGACTAGTCTTACTTTTCATATATTCACAAATAAATTCCTGTCCCAACCTCTGCTTTCTAGACCCTAAGAGAACAAATACCAGTCCTTAGTAATCACAGTCCCCATAAATGGGCATTCAATAAGTGCCAAGGGGAAATGAGATAAAATCTTCTTTGCTGTTTCTATCCTATCTAGGGCCTAAGCTANAAGAAAGAAAGAAAGAATAAGAGGAAGAAAAGAAAAAAAGCGGAGAGTGATAATAGTGTTCCTGAAGTGTTTGCATTTTAACAGATTTCAACACTGCAAAACCTTCAATACTTCCTCAACATGAGTATTTAAGAATAGAGCTCTTTTATGATACACCACAACTAGATACAGGTTGAGTATCCCTCATCTGAAATGCTAGGGACAAGAAGTGTTTTGGAATTTTTCAGATTTTGAAATATTAGCAAATACATAATATTTTATATATGCCTTACACACATAGCTTTGAAGGTAGTTTTATACATTTTTAATAGTTGTGTGCATGAAACAATGTTTGTGTACAGTGAACCATCAAAAAGCAAAGTTGTCACTATTTCCCACCCATGTGAACCATCTGTGGTTGTGTGTCATCACCATCTTCCTAACTCTGAATTTATATGCTACCAATAAGCAATCATTTTCTTATGCTTATCCACACACCCGTATTTAACAGTAAAAAATACGACACACCACTAATACAGTAGAAAGAAAATGAGTTCAGGATAACTAAGCAGCACCATAGCATCACTGCAATACCTGCATCAGCTGCTAGATAATAGCAACAACAAACTGCAGGTGTTCAGTTTCCACCCATGATGCTGCGTTTCAATTTAAAAGGTTATTGTACATTTTTAATATTTATTATTTTTTAGGTGAGAAGAAACATCAGAGGCAATCGAGGGACCAAGAGGTGAGTCTTTTAATTTTTATTATTTTTTTAGGTGAAAAGAAACATCAGAGACAGCTGAGGGACCAGGAGGTGAGTCTTCTAAGGATGAGGAGGTGTTCTGCTGGATGGCTTTTTAAAATGTTTTAATATGTGTTCTCCAGAGGCATCTGCTTCATTTGCAATAATTTTTGTCTTAGAAGTCTCTCTTTGATTTTATAAACTGGCATGATTTCTGGTTCTGTTATAAATTCATTCTATTCCAGTCCTTCAATAAGACCATCACACATTTGCACCATGTCATCTGTAGGCACTTCTTTGGCAGTGAAAATATCTTATCATCACTATTACAGTATCATGATTACCTTGATTTAGAACCATTTCAGCTATTTCACCATCGGTCAACAAAAAAACAACTGGAGCCTCCTTATCCATGTTAAAAACATTTTTGATACCCATTTCTTCCAGCTTACTGAGAGACTCTGAAGGCATATTTTTTGTATATGTAAGGAGATCTGACTTTTTTTACTTGTTAAAATCCTTCAAAGTCACCACCTTATTCATCAACCTCACAGAACATAGTTCACAGGCCAGAGGTTGTGCCAGGCATGCACAACTGTGTCTTCGGTCACTGTGTTCCAAGCATTAGCAATAGCATAAAAAGCATCCTTCATGCTAAATTCCTTGTGAAAATCTTCTACACACACACCTCTGCTCACAGCTATTAGCATGCTGTTCAAGAAAGTATTTTCAGGCTGGGAGCGTTGGCTCACACCTGTGATCCCAGCACTTTGGAAGGCCGAGCTTGGGGGGATCACCTGAGGTCAGGAGTTTTGAGACCAGCCTGGCCAACATGGTGAATCTTGTCTTTACCAAAAACACAAAAAATTAGCCAGACATGGTGGCATGTGCCTGTAGTCCCCGCTACTTGGGAGGCTGAGGCAGGAGAAGTGCTTGTACCCAGAAGGCAGAGGTTACAGCGAGCCAAGATCACGCCACTGCACTCTAGCCTGGGCAACAAGAGCAGAACTCTGTCTCAAAAAAAAGAAAAAAAGTATTTTTACATTTACTCTTCACTGATCTAAGGATGCCCTGGCAATAGGGCTAAATCAACAAAGTCACATTTGGGTGAAAGTATGTGGTATGAATATTATTTTTGATGAGAATTTCAGCTGGATCATGGTACACAGTTGTCAAAGAATAACAAAATCTTGCAGCCATCATCTAGTCCAGCTTCCTTGCAGTAAGCACAAGCTACTGGTACAAAATATTTGTGAAACCAATCAGAAAAGATATCCTGTGACCTACCTTTTTGTTAGCATAACAATGGACTGGTAAGAAATTCATTTTTGAAAAATAGTGAGGACACAAGCTTTTGCCTGTCACAGCAAGTTTACACTTGTGTGTGCCTGCTGCATTAGCACATCCCAGCACAGTTATTCTGTCCTTGGCATCCTTAACTCCTTTAGGGGCTGTCTCGCCTACTGTAGTCCATGGTCTTTTCTGGGACGATCATGCCAAAACTGTGATGAACTGAAAATTGAAGGGAACTATGTATTATAGAATGTTAAAGGAACGAGTCAGTATTGACTTGTTCCATTGTCAGATTTTCATCAGCAATGACCTTGGCAAACTCATCAATGAATTTCTCTTCTGCTATGTGATCGGCAGATGCTTTATTACTACAAATATTTTAAAATGTAATGGCATGTCTTTAGTTAAGTTTCTGCAACCAGGCTGTTGAATATTCACAGTTCCCTTCAATTTTCAGCGCATCATGATAGATCTTCACTTGTTTCATGATAATTATACCATTAAGCTGCATGTGTTCACTGCTATGCTGATGTGTCTCTATAAATTTGAGATCTTCACTTTTAACATTATGCAGTGTATTTCTACTTTTCATTAACTTCTCTTTCTCTTGTGGCATATCTGCAGTCAAAAAGTTTTGAATTTTGGAGCATTTCAGGTTTCAGATTTTCAAATTAGTTATGCACACACAAATCAGGTATGCTCGACCTGTACTGAAATAGTCCCAGTGCTTCCCTCAGATTTTCATTGCACTTTGAGAATACCAGAACAGAATGTGGGAGAACAGGGAGCAGGATTTGATTCTGTCCAGTTTTGTAGACGAAATAACAATTGATACCGTATGCCCAGTAAGCAATGGAAACTCTTACTCAAATCATCACCTTCATCTTTCTTTTATTCTTTAAAATGGTCTCAGTGGTGCTCAGAGGTGTCTCAAAACACAAAATTACTTTTGCTAGCCTTTTTTTTCCTGTCTTCACAATCTGTTCCCATGCTAGCCTTTTTAACATTACCATAGAAGATGAGCTTCCTTCCAGCATACATTTGAAAGTGAGGAATTTTATGTAACCCAAATAAACTTGGTGTATCTCATTATATTTAAAAAAGGAGAAAAAAAGAAAGACATACCATCTAGGAATATGAATACATTTTTACAATTGCTCTGAGATTCAGAGCATGCATTTTTTAATACTTAATATCTTAAGTTGTTTTTTTCATTTCCACAGAAATAACTCTGCAAGTTCAGAGTTTACTTTTTAAACTACTTTTTTTGTAAATCAGTGGGATAAAATTACCATATCCTTCAGCAATATAAAAGAGTTTCATAGTTTAGCACTTGAAAAACAACTCCCATCAATCACTAGCAGTAACTGAGGCACTTCATATATCAAACAACTTAAGTTGAAATTGAAACACCAGTGATTGGTGACAAAACAGTTTTTGCCTTGTTAGTTTCTGGCATGTCTTCTCATCAATAGGTGTTAAGTCTATAGTAAAGTCCATTTTTGGCCCTATTTAAAATATTTCTAGGGCCTAAGAGGTAGGTGATGAAAAAATCCTGGACACATTAAAAACCTATAACTGTGGCTGGGCACAGTGACTCATTCCTGTAATTCCAGCACTTTGGGAGGCCAAGACAGGTGGATCACTTGAGCCAGGAGTTTGAGATCATGGTGAAACTCTGTCTCTACGAAAACAACAAAAATTAGCTGGGCATGGTGGCATGCGCCTGCAGTCTTACCTACTCAGGAGGCTTAGGCAAAAGGATCACTTAGCCCAGGAGGTGGAGGCTGCAGTGAGTCATGGTCATGCCACTGCACTCCAGCCTGGGTGACATACTAAAAAAAAAGGATAACTTTAAATGTTTTCCTGAAAATACTGCCTGAGGAAAACTCTTTAAGATCATTATGATCTTTCCATCACTTTCACAAGAACTATTTAGTGATTTTATTAAATATAAGTTGAATCTGCTAAATAATAAAAGCACATTTTGAAATGAATAC